CAGAGTTGAGATATGATAAACAAGGTGTCCACTGTCAGAAGAGATCATTTCAGTTAATGAAAATTGCTTTCCAATTAACACCAACAATTTTTAGTAAAGGTGACCATTTAGCCCCTCCCTGAATACTTATGCTTGAGCCCTCTGTGGTGCTATGTATTGACTTACCAAGCAGCTGCTCTTCCGTATTTAATTAGCAGGTGTGAAATTAGTGGTGTTGCGGGGAGAAAGATCTCTCCTTGTTACACCTCTGCTTGCCTGCACACAGCTGGCATCAGTGAACTCAGGGTGAAATTCACGCTGCCATCTAGCGATTAAGGTCCACTTTCCCTGCTGTGCCGCAGCAGAAAAATGATACAGCAAAGATTTTAATTCCCCAAGGCTGAAATCTTAGGTAGGTTTATATTCCACGGCTTCTTGAAGAGGAGATGGGTGACATACACAGTGGGGCACAGAGTCCTAGCCGCAGGGAGCTTAGGTAGGACAGCTGATGTAGACATTTAGACATTCTGAGCTGGGGTTCCTAGCTGAATTTGTTGAAGATTCTATTATCCCTTCATGCCAAGTACTTATAGAAACCTAAATAAGTGTGTGCACCTTTGATTTTGGCAGTCTTGTCCTTAATGTTCACATGCAGACACTTGTGTGCCTCTATAGGTACTATCACGTTTTGGGGTTGGTTTTGTTTGTTTGTTTGTTTGGTTGGTTGGTTTTTATTTCCTTTCCTGCAAATTCAGGGCTCACCCTTAGCAGCAGAAAGTAAGGTATTCTTTTCAGGGCAGGCACAGAGAGGCCTAGAACTTGTAAACATGTTCCTCTCTCAACAGTGTTAACAGCATCACGTCTGGTCCAGGAACAGGCTCCTAATTTTCCAAAAGTCTTGCGTCTGAGGGTGTATGTTCTTAAGCCAAGATGCATTAAGATAAAAGGATACTAAGTGCAGAGAAGGGAAGAACAGAGAAAATCGCCATGTCACCTTTACAATGTGACTTCCGCTAGGTACAGATCATCCCTATTTGAACACTTAAGCATTAGATAACATATTGTGGAGAAAAACAAATTATTGTGTACTGTAGAGATTTCTATTTGCTCTATTCACCTTCATTTCAGATTTCATCTACTGTTTGCCTGTATTGAGTAGGCACCCATACAAAGTGTTTTCATGTAAATGAAACAGAGGACTTTAAAATGGAAATGTTATTCATGATCAGAACTACACAGATCAGTCCAGATTGCCAAGGATTCTGGAAAGGACCTGTTATAGGTTCAAAAATAATATAGTTTTTACACTCAAATGCAATTTTTTTACCCTTTGCCTTTAGAATATGTTGTACCAAAAGCCTGACAGTACAGCATTAGATAAAATGTTTTCAACTTGACATATTTAATATAGTTATTTACAAGAAAAACTATGTTTTGAATTATATTTGACACCCGTGTACTAAAGTAAAATGCCATACTGACACATTAACAGGCTTGCCAAAACTCAGCCAAACATTGTCTTACCCAAGTTTTCCAAATCAATCTGCCCCAAGCAGAAGATACGCTAGGGAAACCTGCTACCTATCCAAAAGTCACAGGGGTAATCACCAACTAAAACCAGACTTGGAATAGAAAGTGCAAAGCACATACCTTATCCCACAATGTCAGCAACGTGCAGAAGGCAATGATGTTCAGAAAATGGCATGAGCGAGCCTGAGGAGCATTTTTCATGTTATTGCATCTGCGACAACATCTAAGACATGTGTCTCAAGGTGTCAATAAAGATATTCTCTCTCCATTCACGTGCACAGGACAAGAAAACCACAGCTGCAGCGTCTCCCAACTATTTTGAACTTGCACACAGGCAAGTCCACCAGCATTTGCAAAGCCTCTGTGTGAGCCCGTAAGGGTTGACTCCACACCATTACTTTATGTTGTTCACTTACCCCTTTGTTCGAAACGCCACAGGAGCTCTAAAGCATTTTGTGCTCTTGTTGGGACCCATCTCTTCATAAGCTCCTTGTCACCACTGCACTGCATGAATTGCCTGCTAGCACTTGGACAGCAGTGTTCCGTGTGGCAGGAGTGATTAGAAACCCCTCTGCTTCGCCACTGAAGGATACTGCTGCCACAGAAAGTCCATCTGAACAGCACGCTCCTAATCTGCCTCAGCACAGCCAAGCAGCAACTGATAGAAGCACGTTGTGCTAGCTGAGGTGGTTTTGTAATGAATAGATTACGAAGGACTTGTGCACTGTTTTGTCAGCCAAGTTGCAGAGAAAATAAGGTGGAAGTCAGTAACAGCTCAGGCAGACAGACAGACAGAGCTAGACCAAGGCACAAACATCAGCCTCTGATGAAAGCAGGCATAGGAAATTATTTCACATGCTTTAATAATTCTTTGTATTCCACTGAATGTTACAGTTGCACTGATTTACAAGGGACAATTGTAACAATACAGATTTCCATTCATGGACAGCTCTTCAGTAATAAAATTGTACACAAAAGTCACATCACTACACACAATCAGTAACAACAGAAAGTTTTCTTGTACAGATTAACCCTCAGGACAAATCAGTTTGGTGTTTCATCACAGGTAGTCAGTACTGAGCGCCTAAAGGTTAAAGTCACCTAACGCTTCCTACTCTAGGATCCTTCTCTCTATAGCTCATGCATTTTGTCAAGCTCCCACTTCCACAAGAAAGATTTTGTCTCCGAGACATTTCTAAAACTAAAGGCTTGGTAGCTGCAGTTGCAACCTGGCTGGGCAGCCTGTCATTTTCCCAGCTCCAACAGCTCAGTATTTCTGAGTATGGCTGGCTAGCATGGAACTGAGGTGACTTTTGAAGAGAATTTTAGAGCTTCCTTGCAATCCAAGTAACAGTAAACATAAACATTTGTAAAAAAAAAGAACATTTCTGTTAAAACATAATGACTTTTTTTTTTTTTTTTAAACTAGACTAAGTCTCTAGCATTTCTTAGGATTTGCATGGTTTGTTTGGTCATGTTTTACACATGAGGAGATATTATTCTGTTAGAGTATATATCTAGTTAGTCCTTCATTGGTAAACTTAGCTTAGAAGTAGGATTATCTTTACAAGTATGACGATGCTTCTACAACCAGTATAAAACCCCTATTAATCTTGTCAGTGGATGACTCTTTACTGATTACTTCTAGACATCATTTTCAAGCATGAGAAGGCCATAAGCTGATCACACTTTAAGAAAATAGTTTAATAGTCTTGCCAGAGCATGCCACCGTTCGTGATGCAGAAGCACAATAGGGCTAAATCCAAGATCTTTCCTCAGACCACAACTAAGAGGCCACACCCCAAAATACACTGCCCCAGTGGACACTGTTCATCATCTCTGGGATGAGTTATTGTCTCTGAAATTCATTAATGTGTCTATAAAGAATACTCTGCCTTATTCCAAGTGCCATCTTAATTTTGTTTATGAAAGAAATGGGAACTTAGTAACACCATATGCAAAGTTCTGTTCCCTCTTCATTGATGATATTTAAGGATTGCATTTGTCTGTTGTAAATCTCTGAGCTTTCTTAACTTTCTTTACTAGTACTGTACTGTGGCAAGTACAGTACTTCATCCTGAAGACTTTGAACATCCTGTCTGATCAATATTCCATATTTAGTATAGTTTCAATTAGGAACCATTCATGGGGGTAGAAACATACACTTTTTGTTCTATGCTGGAGCTTCAACTATGGTTTAAAATAAAAAAAAGGGGGGGGGGGGGGACACGACACCCGTAACAGATCTCCAAAAGTGTGAAGTTCATGTCCATTTTGAATGTTCATATGTTCAAACTATAAAAATGTTTACTGCTGGGAAAGCAGCAAAAACATTAAAAAAATACATAGTTGCCACAGATTAATTCCACTCCCCATGAGTTATTTGACATGTAAAGAAGGCATTGAAATAAAGTATTTCAAACATCTAAAATAAACTCCACTATGGTTTAATTACAGCAGCAGCTTTTAATGTTTAGTATCAGAAAGATTGTTCATATTATGGAATAAATATTACTGTTTATTGGTTCCTTTTATGATCATCTGCAATAAAATATTTTCTATCAGATAAGCACTTTACAACAGCCATTTACCAAAAACAGTGCAGATTCAGCAGTTTTCTTGTACAGCTATACACATCCTTTGCAGTTCTGTACTGCAGGTGCCTTCTATTTTTCACAAAAGGGAGGAAAAATACTTCTTGCCTGAACATATACATGGAAAATATATGAAAAGCCTAGAAGAGCAACAAGGTTAAGACATTTAATGTGAGTAGGTCCCAAGTAAAACCATTCCTTCCCTCACAGTTCAATGAAGATACAGAACATAATCAGTTAGTTATAACTTCTTCTGACCTACGACTTCAGTTTGGCCTGGTTACAAAGGGTGAAGACAAAAAAGTATTTCAGATTTTCAGCTGTCTGAACAGAATTACAAAAAATACCCTAAGCAGACCTTCTAGGGTCCTCAAAGCATTTTTCCTGACTGTGCAGGTAAGAATTCAAGGCTCCATGGAATACACTGAGTGTATGTAAGGTTTATGGGATGAGAATACTCCAGTGCAAAAGACACCTCAATGCAATGGAGTGCAATATCCCTAAAAGGGGCCATTTCATTTTTCTCTCTATTAGCATCTGAGAAGAACAGACTATGCACATGTAAAGACCAAAAGAAACACACTAAAAAATTTCACACAAATGCTTTGAGTTATCCATTTTTATTATAAAATGACACTTGGTGTTAGTTGCATACAATCGCACGTGCTGTCAGTGTTACACAGCTCCTCCCACATAAGCCAACAACTGCAGCGCCTGCCCGCACTAACCAGAAGTAGGTTACTTTACATCCACTATAGCTAAGTTACCTGCAGTCATTACTGCAGTGCCTGATGTGACTGTGTTAGGAACCATGAGTAAGATAGGGCATGAGAAATTGGTTCAGTGCCTTATAAATAGTAGGTAGAGCTTTATGTATTTATTATTAGGAAAAATCCCCTTGATTTGGTACACTTCAATGATAAGCTTTTATGCATTTCTTGACTGCACCTAGAGCTATCACCGGTAGCAGCAGCGACCCAAGACTATACAGCACGCTGCACTCCTCTTTCATTGCAGTACCTCTTCACCAGGGAAATACTACACTGGATTTTAAACTAGTTGATGACCCTACTTAGTACTACGTTACAACAGCTTGAGAGCCTAATGCTGTTTTCTTCCATGTACGGTTACTGCTGCTTGTCGGTCAGTGTGCTCTGTTCAGTGCCTGGGCTGTGCTTGTTTTTAAGGGACCTTCCAATATATCTCCAGTATTCCTTTCGGATGGTGTCTTTTTCTTTAGCCAGAATTTCACACAACTATGAAAGAAAATTGAGAGATTGGAATGTTATACCAAAAGCTGAAGGAATCCTTAATTATCTTTATAAAATACAAACAATATATGGTTCAGCCAGTATTAAAAACACTTTTCTTAGCAAAATTTACTTTATTCACCAAATTTGCAACTGTTCAATGACCTCGAAGTGATGTCAACTCCAATGGTTGCCAACCAATCCGACACTGCACAAAAATGTCTCCAGTCCTATTTCAGTTGCAAGTGCTTCCCCATGACTCCTTTCTGTTCCTACCACTCGTTGTTTACCCCAGCCCATTTAGCCTGTAGTATACTTCAGTACACTTGTGATTTCCTGACAAGCTTTATTGTCTTTTAGTGATCCAGTAGGCTGTAAATCACTTCATTCAAAACAGTGGGGGAACATCCTGCTCTTCAATCTTCAGTCCTCCGGATGGACTGACGGGAAATATTTTGTTTATGGCTTTTCTCTTAGCAGACCATCCCAAAAGGATTCTCCACGCAAGTCAGTAACCTTTCTCACAACATGTCAGAGCTGGTGCTATACAGCTACTTCTAAATGTTCTGATTGTTGTTTTATTTTGATCTGTGTGAGCAATGAGGCACAGCAGAAGTCAACCCTACTCACAGGACAAGCTGTGTAAAATTTACATTATATGAATACTGTCTACAAATGTTCCAGTCAATTCCTTTTTATTATGCAGGTGACACTGCCTTACTCAGTGAACCAGAGGAGAGAAATACGAGCTTTGATGCCTAAATAGATGAAGATGTCAAACTCAGTGAAATACTGTAAAGGGACATGAATTTGGGAGGTACTGATTTTACTTACTTACGCTGGTCCTGGAACCCAATAAAGGAAAACTATTGAGAAAGAATGATGTTGGAACACAGAGACTCCAGGAGAGAACTGCAGGTCCAGTCAGTCCCACAGTGAATGAAGTTTTCTTGTAAAAACTACACTGCAAGGAGTTCCCTGAATATGAAGCACAGGGAGACACACACAGCATTGCTAGGAGTCACTTATTCTCTGTAAGAAATGGTGCCCAACATTCCTTACTGATGTCTCCAGTGCCTGCTGGCCTTTAAGCCAATTCTGCCAACTTTCTAAAAAAGAGCTAAGAATTGCAAAAGGAGCCTGAGATTCTGTTTAGATACAGATACTCTGAGAACAAGATTCACTAACCTAGAGAGAAGAAAGTGAGCTCATGCTACAAAGCTAGCACTGGAAACCCCTCACTTATTCAAACATCTCCTTTCTTCTGCCGGCAGTATTAGAAATCTTCCTTTACTACCAGGTGAAGAAACCTTACAGTGATTTTGCAGCTGGCAAGTTATTATTTAGAGATAAATTAATGAGATCCTTGTGATTATCTGGCTTTCATGTTCAACTCTTCATAGAGCTCCTATGATTAAGAAGTAACCTGTTCTGTTTACGAAAATCAACCCCATTTTGTCAGGATATAAAACAAGAGAGCAATAGATGGCAACCCTAAACAAAACCAAACTCTCAAAACATACCTCCAACGCCTTGTTTAGTGTTTCTTCCTTGTTATCACACTGGTTTTCAAGCATATCTTCATATATGTCCACAAGAAAGGCAATCAGATAGGGTGAACTGTGGCTGGGCTGTAAATTCAACAGCTGCTCTAACAGATTTGGGTACTTAGAAAGACCACGATCTTGTAGAATTCTAGAACAGAGGTTAAAAGGTTTGAAACATAATGCTGGGAAATCCAGTGTGAAGAATCAAAATTTTTGTTATGACTCCTTTATTTGGAGATCAGTTTTGAAATAAGGATGCAAATACAAGTAAGGCAGAAAGTAAGCAGCATGCAGGAATAATACAGCTTAACATTGCAGTAAGCTAGTATTGTTACGCTTAACGGAACAAAAATTAGACTGAAAGCATGCTCATTACTTCCTACTCTATGTTCTTGAACCCAGTAAAATTACAGGTCAAGTTTTTAAAAGCATGAGAAGTACATGCAATCCTCTCACAACAACTACAGGGATAGAAACCTATTGGGGAGCTATAGAGAAATAAGGTTAATATATTAAGCCCTTGTGGAGTTTTTTGTCTGCCTGCTTAAGCACACAACACTAGAATTAATAGCAACAAGCTCTTCCCACTTAAGAGCCAAGGATAAGACACCTTCTACAGATACTCTCTTTGCCCCACAGAGAAGGATGCCTCACCCTTTTAAATAGTTCCAAGCACTCTCATTATGTGGCACTGCTGTGATCATCTCAAGAGTGTACCTGTGAGAAAAAGATAACAGGTCATGAATGCAGCCACTAACAATGCAGTTAGAAATTACCTGAAAGTGCTCAGATGCTCCCAAATACATCCCTCTAGTCTGGATTTCAAGATCTTTTTGCAGATCACCTCAGCTAGGTCACAGATCAAAAATGTCTCTCAATATTATCACCACAAGTCTCAGAGAGGCAGACATTGTGAGAACTGTTTTAAATTCTGAAGTGTTCCATTTGCTGCATTTTATACAATAACGAGACAGTTTTCAAAATTATGAGCAATAACACTAAAAAAAACCATTATATACTCCTGTTATGCTAAAGGAAGAATTTGTGTCTTGATGCTCAGAAATGGGCAAGGGGCTGAAAAGGGCTGGAGTAACTGAAGCCCAGGGCGAGCTACATCAATACAACTGCATGTGGTATGTTCTGTACCTATTTGCAGAAGTTTTTGCATCAGGCTGCACTTGAGCAAACCCACAGAAAGGTAGAGCTGGAGGCTTCAGCTCACACAGCCTTCTGGACCAGCTCTTTTCAAGTAGCAGTTAGGCAACTCCTCTAAAAGCAAAGCAACAAGAGGCACCTCTCATACAGTCACAAAGGCACATTTCATCTTCACAAAACAGACTTTACCTTCTGCTCTTCCCCAGCATAACCAGGCATTCAGTTGATTTTTCAGAGACAGCAGATACTGATAAAAAGTTCTATAAGGTGTACTGAAAAAAAGAACCAAACCCCAAAACCTAGACCTTTTTTTCCGTTCTACTATGACAAAGTCCGAGTTTATCAAGCAACAGGCAGCCCAGCTGCAGTTCTGTAATGACATCTGGGAAGTCTTAACCTTAGACAGTCTGATTCTTAAGATGGCATCAAATTATCCTGAATATCCTGCTATATAAACAGATCAAGGGAGGATGTCAAATCCAATCTCTGGAGAGAAAAAGCTAGATATATCTGAGCCTAAGTCATGAAAATGGTTCAGATTTATTAATCTGTGGGGAAGTTATAAACTGGAAGAGAAGTACAACTTACACCAGTTTGCAAAGACAACCATGAAAGGTGGTGGGGGCTAGGATCCTCTATGAACAATGTGCCAAAGGACCTATTCAGAGACTCGGTTTTTCTTCTGAAGAAAAACTCCAAAAAACTGCAGTACCTTCTTTTCACTGTTTCTTCACTTTAGACAAACACCTTCTCATAGCCATCAACCCTGATCGGCAGTCTGAGATGTGAAAACCATACAAGGACGCTCCCCTTACTGCTAATCAGTAGCAAAATAAATAGCTAGAAGCCCAGTTTCTCTTCAGTTGCAAATGTATCACTTTGAAACAGTTCCCAAAGCTCATTTTCCTCAAAACTAGCCAACTCACACAGGTAGTTGTCTTTGTGCTGACCACATATCCCTGGAAGCTCCTTTCTTTTTCTAGCTGCAACAAATTCCTCACAAAAGGCAATCCCTCTTCCTACAACCCACATTAATGTTATCTTTAAATCACCGTGGCTACGGTACTACTGAACCAGCAGTTTAGTCCAACACTGAGTGCCTCTCCTTCCAGGCTTTCTAGGGGTAAGATGTAAGGCGCTGATAAACAGCACAACTCGTGGTTCTAGTATCACAGCTTTTCTGCAAGTTGTTCCACTATATATAGTTGACTATAAAAAAACCAAGAGTTTTGTTTGCACAACAAACAGCAGGGTGGGAAGACAAATTCATGCGAATAGCTTGCCCAGACTAAGCCTGGCATGCTTCAGTACTACTCAAGAAGTCAATGCTACTGAACACGCTATATATGCACTAACACTTGATCTGCTGCCCACGAGACTGAGCCCAGAAACTGCATTAAAAACAGGAAAAACAAGCCCACAGGGACTGTCAAAGTATTCCTTTGCCTTCATGTAATGGGGAATGCTTAATGTCACCATGAACTACTAACTGGACTTCTCTGTCTAGGACTGCTGGATCATCGTAGCCGGTTGTGTTGAAAATGACAAAGTGTCTTTGGTTCCAAACAGAGTTGTTTCTCACATCTTCCCTCAAAAGCTGGTCTATATATTCCAGTTCATTGTCCCATAATTTGAACTCCTGTGGAAAGGGAAGGAAGGGAGAATATCAGTCAAAAGTTATTTTTTAAAATATATTCTCCTTGCTCCCAAGTTATGTGAACATTAGGTACAGAGACTTTTTTAAAGAAATCAACACAAAGTTCCAAGAAAAATAAGGAAGGGTGCACTAGGAACATACTACACTATTCAGTTGCACACACAAGCTCCTCATCATTAAATTCATGTGCAGAACAGAAAGCAGCCAACGATACGCCTTTTTAAACTCACCTCCTAAAAGGCAAGTTTATAGCTAACCCCTACCACACACTAAAATACAATTGTTTTTCCCTCCTTCAGCCTTAAGAAGCGAAGTGCAAAATGCAATTCAGATTGTCTTTAAGAAGCAAAACTCTACAACCTGAGCAGGTTATTTAGTGACTCAAGAGTTTTGTGGATACAACACCTGAATAACCCATTGTCTGTGTTGCCATGCATGGTAATTTTTGGCATCTTGGTTAAGAATGTCAGCTATGAACTCAAGCTCTTGGGATGGATCCTGCAGCCACTCCACCAACACCCGTCTGTGATGCCTAATGACAAGAGGAGGAAACTATTTTTAGAATAGTCTAAAATTTTTCGTCTGTATTAAAAGAGCATACAGCAACTGCTCTACTTAGAAAAAAAAGCCACTAGTTAAATACTTCAAATTAAATATATCAAAGCCATTTAACTTGGCTCTGAGAAATATATGATACATACTTATAAGAAATTCTAATTACACATACAAATTGGCCAATTACCTCCTTTTAGACAACTTATGTTTACTTGAAGTAACATGTTTCCACTTCTAATGCTCACAACCAAGGTCTTAATCAGAATAAAATGTTCTAGTACTACATAATCTCTCTAGCAATAACAACACTGCTGTTATGACTATTCCCACTCACTTGGGAAAGACCTAACAACAGGTAAACAAACTCCATGAGCCAGTAAAAGAAAAAAAATACATATTTCTATTTGTCTTTTTGTTTTCCTTTTCATTAGTAATTTTTTTTTTTGTATCTGCAAGACTTATTTTGACAGTTTAAAAATTGAAGTTAAAAGAAAACAAGATGGTTTTAGCACGTCATAATCATTGTTTATAACAAATTGTTACAGAGCACTTTGGCTGTGATACTGATGCAACTCCTCCATTTAACTCCTCCGCTACTGGCACTGCAGTAGATGCAGGAAGAAACTCTTAACAACTCTTCAACATCTTTGTCAGTGACATGGAC